ACGCGTTTTAGGCTGTGGGTTTGCTCCAACTGCAGGCTAGTGGCCTTTGAATGAGTTTTAATGAAAAAGCAATTTCTATCCTCACCAAAGTCATTCCCTCTGTCGCAAGTACAGAGATAACAAAACATAGAAGGCTAAAAATGTGCTTTAGTACCTCAACTTACGACCACCATTGAGGCCAGAATTTAGGTTGCTAAGTGAGACGTTTCTTAAAGTGAGTTTCGCCCCGTTTGACACCATTCTGGCCACAAGCTGCAAAGTGAATTAATGCAGTTGTTAAATTAGAAACACGGTTGTTAAGGGAAACTTGCTTTGCCTGTTTAACTTTGCTTGTTGGACAGCGAGGAGATTGGGGAGGGACACGGGCCAGTCCTGATTTTTTTATGTGCGTTGAGCCTTTGTTCTCTGGCCTTTTAAAATTTTTATTATATCCTGCAAATCCACCCTGCTCTGATGTCCTTAATCTTTCATTTTTACTACGGCGAAGGAAGTCCTTGATTTACGACCACAATTGTGCCCAAAACATCTGCTGCTCAGCGAGACTTTGGTTCAGTGAGTTTCGCCCCATTTTACGACCGCGGTCGCTAAGTGAATCACCTCGGTTGTTAAGGGAATCTGGCCTCCTCCCCCCTCGTTGACTTTGCTGGTCAGAAGGTCGTAAAAGAGGATCATGTGACCCTGGGACACTGCAACCGTCATAAATATGAACCAGCCATCCAAACATCTGAATGTAAATCCATAGGACCATGGGGTCGTAAGTGTGAGAAACGGTCATAAGTCACTTTTCTCCCGGGCCGTTGGAACTTTGAACAGTCACTAAATGAAACTTGTAAGTCGAGGACTTCCTGTACTTACAACCATTTACAACCCTCTCTTTGGTGACCCCTAGAAGTTACAAGGGCGCTGAAAAAAGTAACGTATGACGGGTCCTCACACTTATGACCGTTGCAGCATCCTCGTGGTCATGTGATTAAAATTTAGGCACTTGGCAACCTCTCTTGTATTTATGATGGTTAAAGGGTCAGGTAATCAGCATTTGCTTTTGACAAGAAAAGCATTAGGTATCTTCGATGCCCCAAATCTATCTATCTATCTATCTATCTATCTATCTATCTATCTATCTATCTATCTATCTATCTATCTATCTATCTATC